CAGGTTCTCACAACATGAAACATAACGAACTGACAAAGGAACAAAGAAACACCAGGGCTATATATAGGTGAGGGGGATGGGCACAGGTGAAANATTTCCCTCAAAGAAAAAAACAAACATGCCCTGTTGTCGCAAGAAAGAAAGTGCAGAAGGAAACATCCATTGAAACTCAGTGTTCTGCTCTGTGATGCTAGTTCAAGCCAGATACTTGGCATCTCATCTTGGATTCAAGTTCATCAATGTTTGGGCTCAGGCTCTGAGCTGAGGAAATCCTCAGGGTTGAGTGAAGGTGTGCGTGCAATATACCGGAGCGCCAGATCTAATAGTAATTGTAAATTATCCTGCGGGCCGAAATTAAATCCACCAAGGGCCTGATTTGGCCCCCGGGCCTTGAGTTTGACACATGGGCTTTAGTGTATTGTGGTAGGGGTAAAGGTGTGAAGGAGGATAACAACAGAGGAAGGGCGTGATCACTGCAGACAGGAAGAGAAACTGAACTGTTTCCCTCCACATTCCTTGTGTGTGCGTAACATTTAAAATAAGAAAGAGAGGGTTGTGACATGAACAAGTAAAACCGGTAAGAAAGAAGTTCTCCTCACCCATCACATTCAGTGTGACTTTTCTCATGTCAACACCCGGTGCCTTCTTGACTTTACACTGGTAGGTTGCTGTGTCTTTGAGAACCACATTAGAGAGAGAGACGGAAGCGTCGCCCTGCTTGGGGTCCACTATGAACTTGAGCCTTTTGTTCACGCTGGGGTCTCCGTAGCGCATCGTCTGGCCCCCTGTATATGATAAAAGCTGAGATACAAAGATTGGGTTGAGTGATGACACGTCTTCAAAGCAGGTTTTCCCACCAACAGAGCCCAAAGGTAGAAAACCATAATAACCCACACTCTTGCATGTCTAATGAACGCTCCTTCAATTTAGACAACTTCTCAGACAGGTTTTTCTTCAACACCTCTCTGTCGTCTGACTCACACATACCAGTTGGTCTTTCTGTGTCATGTCCGGGCTAACATTGGACCACTCGATGTCCAGCTCTCCCGTGTCTTCGGGGCCGAGGGTGTAGGTGCATCCCAGGGTGACCGTCTCCCCCAAAGCCTTTTGGATTGTTTGCGGCCCCGAGGTCGTCACCTGCATCGCCTCAGTCACATCTAATGGGTCAGAAAAATTGTCAGATTTTCGTAATCTTAAATAGATGCTTCTTCCTTGCTCCAATTTTCCAAAAAAATATACCAAGGCTGAAGAAAAACACAAAACAAGACAAACAAAACCCAGTTCTATCTCAAATGCATTCATATTTTCCTAGTTTCAGCACATAAACAGTCTGTGAGTGGGTGCTGATCTGAGACTAATTGGCCTTTTAAGTAAAACTGCCGAGTATTCGGAGCTGGAATAGAAGTCAAATTGTTAGTTTGTAAATAAAAATGAGTTACGGATTAATTTGAGACCCTTGATGTGCATTAGTTGTAAAAAATATGGGTAAACAATGATGAAAACTGAGAAGGAGCGGACTTGAAAATTGTACTTGACAGGTGGCGGTTAAAAGCTACTTCGGTTGACACACGCCCTGCTGACTCACTGTTTATGGCCATGGATTTTATTTGTTGTTGATAGCTTGACACTTATAGAAAGAAACCAGTGTTAATTGTAATATGTGTCGACGTCTTTCCAAAGATCCATACAATTCATCTTTAATGTTGTCACTCCACTTTTCATACATTTGGAGAAACCTTCCTTTCACCATTTCCCCATCTTAGCAATCAACCTTCACTAAATGTCTTAATAGACTGCGTCGATAAATCAAATCAGCCTCTTCATTGACACCATTAAAGTCAGCTTACTGTCTGAAAGCACTTCAATGAAACTGGAACAAAACAAACTACATTTGTAAAAGCATCTGATAAAAGAAATGCTGAAAATTGGTCAGTTAATGGATTCTCTACAAAAGTTCCTTTGCTGTTATCTATATGTGTTTATCATGTGTAAAGGCATCCTATCCAATTATCCAGTGAGTGCAGTCACAATAAAGCCATTTTTTAAACTGCAAAGATCTTCTACTTTTACCTCCGACATACTGAACAAATCTTTAAACAATAATTGGTCATATTCTTATTGTATTTGCTAAAGTCTACCATAATGTTTGTGTGCAGATTTATTGATTGTTAAAAATAGTTTTTCTCCTTCCCCCCCCCCCCCCCCATATTTGCTCTGTTTGACACAAAGTGCTGCAAATAATCAAATCCTGTCTCCCTGTGGACTTACTAAGAGTTGTGCATGTGTTTGATAACACTTTCACTCTGCCGCTAGCATTTGATTTGACTTTTTTTTTTATGTTGTCCGTGTATCAAATTAGACAGCCTGGATTGAAGCCCAAGAGTAATTTATCAAAAGGGAACAATAAAGTCTCTCAGTGTCTTACTTTACAAATGCACACACCAGTTTAAACCTTGGCAACAGGAGCACATTTGAAAAAAAAAAGAGCTGGTCATGTACATGTACACGCCTCAATGATGTCTGCAATGCAATTCCCCCATACTGTGGGATAATCAGCTCAAAGCATCTCAGCTGGCCTGTAAATTAGTGGGTCACAGAGAAAGAAACAACACCAGCTCTGTCTGTCCTTGTTTTTTTATGATCAGAGTGTGAAAGATTTCCTGACAGTCAGTCATGTTGTATTTCCCTTACCTGCTCACTTAAAATCTACTACACATTCCTGGGATATAAAACGAGACTCACCTGTCTCCAGCCGGATTGTTAGCAGAAACAACACAGCCAGCTTTAGCCTTGCACTTGAGAAAACAGCTTCCATATTAACCCTGAAAGCAACATGAAGTGAAGAAAGTGTTCAAAGATTATTTTCTGTTACTGTTTACTTCCTTTGTATTTTGTCTCTAATTTAATAAAAAGGAAGTGTGAGGATCTCTAGAGCATGGCTGCCAGCCACTCTTCTAACACAGTTGTTTATCTTTAATCTTTAACAGTGGGAAGTAGAAGAATTACTGCTCTCACTTTGTTCCCTTTTCGGGTTGTTAGCAGAGCTAGTGGTCTAAAAATGAATGTAAATATTAATTGAAAACAAGCAGAGGGCAGATCAGGTGTTTCTTACTTAAGTAAACACTACCATGAAAGTTAAATAGAGAAAAGTAGTTCTGACATACCTTAAGGAGAAGGAATAATCCACAGTAAAAGTATGTCCTTGAAAGCCAGGCAGTGTCTCTGTACTGGTGGAGTTTGCTTATTTTGCTCTCAGGTGAAACTCAGGAGCAGTTACTAGACCACACCCTCTCTGTCCATAGTGCATGTGTTGGTCACTCCTCGAGTTGGGAACATTTAAAGCCCCACCCAACAAGGTTTTGTTCCAGGAAATGTGTTTTTGTTGGTTGGAAATGTGTTAATTTTTTAACCAAATTAACCAGCGTTGTGTTGGACATACTGTTAGTATTTGTTTTGTAACCCCAGGCTTCTGTGACAGAGATTAATGATTACCTACCACTTCTGAGTTGCTCAACAAATATGTTGCTGCGCTGCTTGTTCTGCTCATAAACATCTCTCATTCCATTAAAGTACATATAATTACCTCCTGTGTGTCAATATAATGTGCTGTTTTGTATGCTGTGTTTGTGCATTGCTGGAAGAAGTAAATATTTTACTCAAGTAAAAGTAATAATTCCACAGTCTAGAAATACTGTGCTAAAGGTAAAGTCGGCTCATTCACAATATTACTAAAGTGGAAATACAAAAGTATTAGCATTTAAACATATACTTAAAGTAAAGCTAACAGTACTCAGTGGAGATAACTTGAATTAATGTGCCAGGTATCTTAATCTTAATAAAAAGCTGTGATTATTAAATTAATTTAATATCTGTATTAATTATTTAAACTTGCAAATTAACTAGAAATATATTTAGTGAGTAAAAAGTACAATATTTTTCTTCCAAATTTGTGTGGATTAGAAGTACAATTTAAAATGGAAATACTCCAGTGAAGTGCAAGTACCTCAAAAATGTACTTAAGTACAGTACAGAGTGAATGTACTTAGGTACTTTCTTCACTGCTGTAATGTAGTTTGAATGTATTGAAATAGATTTATCAAAAATATCAACAAATTCTTCCTTAGAGTTGAAAAGTGGTGACATTTTTTAACGTTTCGAATGGGCCAAAGAAATGCTGAATTTCCAACCCTTCTCCGACACACCCTCCTGCCACACCTAAGAACACTCAGACAACGCAAGACACAATGTTTTGATTCATACGTCACTGTTAAGATGGTGACAGAGCTGCAAACTGCTCTAGTATTGAGTCATTAATCTAAGTTTTATCGGGTGACCAACAGAGGAATCACTAATTCTCCGAGCTATTAAAACCTACAGCCAGTATCACAATTTCTTATCAGCTATAAATGATTTACCCAAATAGAGAGTTTGAGTTGGAGTTAAACATCTACAGATCAATGTTCAAGGTGTTTTACATCATCTGTTTTAATGCACACAATTCTACTGTGGCTGATGACCCAAAAAACGAAAGGAGGGAGGTTTCAGATGAAGTGGAATGGAGCGGTGAAATTACTCCATATTGATTTTGTGAAGAGTGTACAGTAGGTGATGTGAGCACGGAGCATGACGTTTGCCATTAGGAAGTGCTGGGTTAATGCGATCCTGCCAATAATTTTCATTAACGAGATGAACAAATTACCAGTGCTCGAGATGGAACATTATCAGAGAGCACATTTTGATCAGAGAGTAAAATTAAAAGCAGCGCCATCCCCCCCCCACACTTTGTTCAACGCTGTGTGTGTGTGTGTGTGTGTGTGTGTGTGTGTGTGTGTGTGTTTGTGTATGTGTGTGTGTTTGTGAAACTGTGTTCCTGAGCTTCATGCAGTTTGCATCGTTGACTCCCCATCTATGAAGCTGTGATCCTGCAAATGTCAGGGTGTGTGTGAGGCGGTAGAGCTGCTCTAACCAGCAGGTGGTTAATTGCCCCTCTGTTGTAAGAGAAGGTTCTGGCACAGGAGCACTGAACATGCTGCGTGACAGGACAAGGCGGGGCCAAACAGACATTACTGGGACATAAGACCAAAGCTGCAGGAGAGAGCGTGTCAACAGTCTGCATGAATATATTAGTGACCTCTGGACACAGCAGCCTTTTGTCACCCCGAACTGTCTTAATCATCCAACTAAACTTGAAGAAAGGTAGCCAAGCGTTGTCTTTCCCGCCAAGATTTGCTATAACCCCATTTATCCTTCCAGATTTGGCAAAGGTAGCCTGATCACTCCGCAGGGTAGAAAACAAACCACCTTGACAGATGTCCAAATTACAAGTAAACAGCCTCGCAGGGGAGGCAAACAAATGACCAACGCAGGGAGGGGAGCGGCTACAGAAAACAAGCTAGGCTTGCCAGCAGCCTAACTGAAATAGCATGGCAGCATGAGTCACGGTGTGTCAATGTCAGGCAGCCGGGTCGGGGACATATATTCCTCTTTTTTAAGGTGGTAGGCCACTGGGACAAAGATGGTGCTTCTTGGCAGAGGGAGGTAGTCATTCAGCCTTCAAAGAGCAATGTGAGTGGAATAGAGCAATATTCATGACCCTCTGAATCTCTGCAATTAAATGTCCACTCCGACAGGGAAATTGATTTTTTGTCTCTTTACAACTATCAGCCGTTATAAACAGATGTCCTGCCCATCATACACACATACTCTGCTGCCTTGGTGGTGTTAGTTACACCATGGAGTAATGAGTGAAGAGTCTACATCCAGTTATGTGTGTTGTCTTGTTATATTGTGAATCCGGTGTGATTATTCCCTCTCGCTGAGCAGAACACAATTTCAGCTCCTGCTGCCCTGCATGCTCTCTATGTTGCATCCTGCAGAATAAATAATGGAGGCAAATGCAAGGATTCCTCTCAACTTCTGTGATTCTTCATCTCAGTCAGCAACCCACTAAGGAAAGGGCACACAGTAACTATCAAAACATGCTTGAATGATGCTGGAAACAGCAGGACAACACCACAGTGGTTGCCTGTGCTACAGTGTGCTTCCATTCTCTATTAATTACATTCAAACTATTGCAGCTAGAGACACCATTATCGGGATTTTTTTTCACAGCTCTCTAAGAGGATATAAAAGAAAATGTAGATGAGGGTCAAATGAGAAACAGAGAAAGAAAGATTAACTTCAGCCTGAGGAAACAACATCCCATACTACCTGGGCTGAAATCTGACAAGGGTGAGAGGGGTTACTACATCCAATAGCCACCAAGGACACACATAGAGTGTTTTTGTTCCAGTGAATCACTTCCACTGTGAATTTCTGTCCGTGTATAGACAATTATGATCCGCAGAGAGTCCATCCGAACAAGGAATGTGTGCCAAAACCTTATCCTGTCTAAACAGAAAAAACTCTGAAATTAGGCAGGTGCAGGAAAACCCTCATGAAACCAGAAGAAGCCCTGATGGTCCTGCTTCATTTTCTGTAGGTCTGTCCTCAGGCATGGTTAAACTTCCAACATCTGAACATGAAAAGGCAGCGCTCTATAAGAAATCCGGTTTATGAAATATGGAAGTAAATGTATCGTGTGTATACTACTCCATCCCTCCCTTGGTTCACAAGCTGCCCACCCACATAAACTCCAGCACACACACACACACACACACACACACACACACACACACACACACACACACACACACACACACACACACAGAGCCTCCAGCAACATGAGCAAAAACGGTGGACCCCATAATCCAATAAGTTGTGCTTCTTGTGCTAAACCCAGTGAAGTTTGGCACACAGAGGGAGTCCATGGAGACTACTGTCCCCTAAGCCTCGCTTGCAGGAGTGGGATAGAAACTGTATTCTCTGAAATATAACTTCAGATCACTCCTCTCCCCCGCTCTCCTTCCACGATAGCGGATATTACCCATTTGGGAAATATGATATAATGATGTAATTTAAAGCTGACTTCACCATTAAAAACGTTAATTAATTAAAGAAAAATTATTGGAAAAACAGTCTTGTTCACAGACTGTGTTGTGGAAAAAGAGAGGTGGTGAAAATGGGTTCAATCTTCTGCTTTATTGTCTGTATCCTCACTCAGTCAATAATACAAAAAACATATTTATTTTGAGTAAATTATTTCCGCAGGATTGAAACTCATATGAAATGGGTTTGCATGCTCGGCCGTGCTTGAAAGCAACATCATAATTTATAGAATGGCTGCAATTATCATCAAAACACTAACAATAGTTAGTGGAAAACAATTTGCATTCGTTTGATGCTGGTAGTCTGTGTTGTTTGCTGCAGCTACATATTAGTGAACTTGCGTTTTTTTGTAGTCAGGCAGTTGTATAGTGAATTTGTGGCACGCTGTCAAACACACTCACAATTAGCAATAACACACTGACTGCTATTACACCAATTGGGAGGGCGCTCCATGTACTGTGTGTACAAACTGCTGCTAATCCTTGCTCTAACCTTCGATGTAACCCCAACCTAATTTAAATAATTCATAATTTTAGGGAATATAGCTACTCTCTCTTTTAAAGTATATAACAACTAACCTGCTCACGTGGCTTCTGTGTGGGAGAACTGATTTGTGCTTGAATAGTGGTTGTTGTGTCCCAAGCTGCTTTAGAAGAAGGTCTTATTTTTCAGTCAGTCCTCTATGATTTAAATTACATTATAAAACTAGTCAGATATTTAATAAAATATAGCCTCAAGGTGATAACAAGCAACCAATGTAACATAATACATAATTAGATAAATCTCCACAATGAGAAGTTGTTTTGGATACACTTTTCTTTGAATGCCCACTTGGCTACTACTTCTGTTACATGATGAAACTACAGAGATATTTAATAAGATTTATTTGCAAGTTGATCAAAAGAAACTGATATCAATCAAGACAACAAAAGAGATTCCAATGTCAGGTGTAGACTGGAAAGTAAAAGACACAATGGAGGGTGTGGATCACTTCTGTTTTGCTAAAGAGAAATAAACTTGACTTTAACCCTTTCAAAGTCTGTTCTTAATTAATGAAAGTTCATTGTAACATTGTATTAGCCTAAAAAAGTATTGTTCAGCTTTCAGTTGTAATAATCCTTATCCTTTGTTGCTAGGGACGGCCAAAAATATCGTACATGTAAGTCACATGTGTTAATCATTATGTTCACAGCAGGTAGTTGTTTTTTTAAAGATTTCTCACGCAGCTGGAAAGTATGGTGAAACTATACCAAAACATTAAAGTCTCAGGACATAAAACTAAAACAATAAGACAATAACAAGCTCT